AAAAAACAAAACAAACAACAACCTTGTTCCCCAGACAGTGGAGTCCCACCCCAGCCTCCTATTTCCCCATGCCTGTAATCCCTACTTCCCCATGTAATCCTTGTCCTATCCTATACTATATTAAAAAAAAAAAAAATTTTACAATTTTTAATTATAAACCTGTGTTTTCTATCAAAATTACTTATTGCGTGAATTTTGGGACACCCTTTATATAAAGTCTGTAAAAATTTATATAAAATTTATACAAAAAAGCTATTTTTTGTGCATATATACATATGTAATATAAAATCAGGTAGAAGAAAGAGAAATACCAACTTAAGGTAAATGATTGTCTGAGGACAGAAGAGAGAGAATAAATTTGGAGAGGGGTATACAAGTGGCTTCAAGAGTATCTGGAATGCTTTCTAACTATCTGGCAAAATGGTAGAATTTGATACAGCTAGACAATGAGTATATAAAATGTTTAATTTTAATATTCACTGTACATACATATGTTTTAAGTATTTCGTAGTAAAAAGAGTCACCACAGTAATCACTTACCATGTTCAACATTTTCTTCAAATATAACACAGGTCCCAAGAGTATCTGTGGAAAAATTTAAAGATAACTTGTTAAGAAATAACAGAGCTACATTCTCTGAAAAGCATATTTAAAAAGGAGTTTCATCCTACCTTCATACTCTCCAGCAAATACATAGCTGTCCACCTGCAGAATGGGCCTCTCAGTGTCAATTCCCTACATCAGAATTCAGGATCATAAAAAATCATTAGAAAAAGCCTCAGAGGTTGGGTAAAATGGGTGAAGGTGGTTAAAAGATACAAACTTCCAATTATGAATTAAATAAATCCTGGGGATGTAACATACAGCCTGATGACTACAGTTAATAAAACTCTATTGTATCTTTGAAACTTGTTAAGAGAATAAATCTTAAAAGTTCTCATCACAAAAAAGTAAAAATTTATAACTATGTGTGATGACGGATGTTAACTAGACTTAGTGGGGGTGATCATTCTTTCACAATACGTACAAATACTGAATCATTATGTCATATCCCTGAAACTAATATAAAGTTGTATGTTAATTATATCTCAATTTTTAAAAAAGAAAGAAAAAGCCTTCCACATGTAACCTTGCTACCAAGAGCAGAGGTGGGGAAGTCCGGACGGCAGGCCCTCAAAATCATTTGGTCTGGCCCTGCCAAGACTTAGGGTGAGTTAATGAAATGTTTGACCAAATATAGCAGGCTAAGTTTTTTTTTTTTGGTTTTTATTTTCAGTCTAAGTTTTAAGTTGATAATTTTGTATGGCCCCCGAATGATGTTATAAATATCCACAGGGCCCTTGGCAGAAAAAAGGTGCCCGATGCCTGTGCTGGCGTCTAGAGCTGGTGTCCTGGTAAGCACTGCTCAGACCCCAAAGCTCCAGCCTGAAGACCACCCAAGAAACAGGTCTATTTCGGTCAACATGCTCTTCAAGTCAGCCTAAGAGCAGGGAAGTATGGTCAACAGTTGCTCCACGATTTTAAAGCAAAGTGATAAAACAGGTGGTAACGCAGAATACAATAGCTCAAGACAGCAGAGTGTGAGGTCTTTGAAGTCTTTTCTTAGTAGGTACCTTCTCTCCCTTCTCCACATTTCACCTGTGTGTGCATATCGCATTATCCTCTCTCCCACCTCACTATCTAAAACCATGCATTTTTTTCTAAATATCAAAATGCCACTTCCTCCAAATCTTCAACTCTCTGCAGCCATACATCCAGACACTCAAGCAGAGTTAGGCATCTTCTCCCACCTGCTCCCACAGTCCCCGATACCTCTACGATTGTCTTTAGAGTTCACTGCTTTGTAACGTGGAATTAATGTATCAGTCCCCAAAGTTCACCAATTCATTCTTGTTCTAAATTTATGAAAATCTACAACCACTCCCCAATTCCAGAAGACTCACCAAAATCTTGCATTTATTTTCACATTTTGAGAGAAAGTCTGAATCGATAATTCCTGACAATTCCACCAGAACCAGCTGCTCCTGGTGGAAGAAGGAGGGGTTAACACGCTAGCACGCGGGTGCTGTGCAGGAAGAGGCAGTTACCAGGCGCACCCCCACACCCCCACGGCAACGACCCCACCTCCGTGAAAACTAGGTCTTGCTTTCGAGGAGAGGAAGCGAGCGCCGTTTCCAAAAGCGACTTCCTCCACTTCCCCATTCAGACCAGAAAGCTGTAGTCGAGGCTGCGGCCAGCTCCCCCGAGCC